TACCTTTGTGTAGTCTACTAATGTATGCCAATAATGTACAGTAGTGCTGTCTACTTGCAGGGATTTTCCACTCACTTTTAGGAATGGGGCCCAGGCCCTTGGAATTGGGAATTTTATGACATTTTATTACTTATTGGGAAATTTTATTGTATGATGTTTTTCAAGAAATAAAAACTTAAGATGAATTGATCTTTTACTTAGTTATTCAGAACTATGAATCAGAGAATTGTTCATTATAATAAAGTTTAACCCAAGATTCTTCAAAATTTTGTTCATTTCATTCAAATTTCCTAACCTAAACTTGTTTGTATTTTGTGAATTATGTTCAGGTTACCTTCTTGAGATCTTCTTCTTTCAAAAATTGAACATAGGCAGTTCATTTTTGGGAAAAAGGGAGGGGTTTTGCAATTGGGAATGGGGCCCATATTCGGCCCTACACGGGGTAGTGGAAAATCCCTGACTTGCATGCCAATTTTTATTGATGTTACACCAAAACTGTAAGAGGAGTAGCATTTTGAAAGCATTTCTAAGAAATTTTTAGTAACCATGGTAACAACGTTCATTGAAAAGGAAAACCAATGCACTAAAAAATGTATCTTAGTGTAGTCTACTTGTGTGCCAAGTTATATTGAAATCAGATCAAAAGTGTAGGAGGATCGAGTATCTTTCACAGGAATTTCAGAGAAATTTCTAGTTTTTGTAACCATAGCAACACCAGTCATGGAAATCAAAAACCAATGCACTAAATCATATATCTTGGTGTCTGTTCAGACGGGCGAACTCTGACCAGAAGAAAAAATTTTCATCGTTTATCTATAACAGTGAACAGATTACATAGTACCTTGAAAGTTTAAATATTTTTTTTTATTTCTCAATACGTCCGTACGTATTTAATTTCAAAGTTATGTTTTTTTCCTATCTGTGGGGGTTACTATATTACGTTTAGCAAAGAATATACATGGACGCATAGTGAAGAATTCTTGTGTGCCAAGTATTGAAATTGGAAAACAACTCATTATCACCTGTGGGGACCGATTAGTGGCTTCAATATAAGCGAAATTTCAATATATCCGATTTCAATATAACCGTTATTTTAATGCGGGCGAAACGGGGACTCTCTGACCAAAATAAGCGAGTTCAATATAAGTGGAGTAAGCTGTATCTTGGTGTAGTCTACTTGTGTGCCAAGTATTGAAATTGGACAGACAGACGGGCGACGGACTCTCTGACCAGTAGAGAAAAAAAGAAAATACCCATTTTACTCATCATTTTAACTTTGAGTAGGTAGTGAAACAAGAGGCCCATAGGCCATATTGCTCACCTGAGTAACTTTGACCATTCTGTTCTTTAATAGATCCCCCCTGTAATACCTATTCTGACCCAGCCCTACCCCCAGGGGTAATGATTTGGACATGTTAAAATACACACTACCGAAGGATGCTTCGATCCACATAAGTTTCAGCTTTTATGGCCCAGTGGTTCTTGAGAAGAAGATTTTCTAAGGTTTTGCATATATATCTCAATGTAAAACTTCCCAATTGTGGCCCCGTCCTTCTCCCGGGGGTCATGATTTGAAGATTTTTAGTGACCCCACCATATTTTTGCCTTTTCTCGATTATCTCCGCTTGGAAGGGAACTTGACCTTTAATTTCCATAACTTAAAGTCCCCTTCATCCAAGGATGTTTTGTACCAAGTTTGATTAAAATTGGCCCCGTGGTTCTCGAGAAGAAGTTGAAAATTTGAAAAGTTTACAGAAACATACCCTGCTGACTGGTCACATCCACTATGAGCCCTTTCAATTAATGAGGCAAATAGATCATTCACAGGTAAAAAAAAATATCATATTGCCATATTGGCCAAAAATAGAATGATATTTCAGCTATATCAATACAACATTTTATACAGCTAGCTTGAATTTGTTTTTTTAATCACTTAAACAAATAAGTCTCTGTCGAGAATGTAGCTCTACTGGTTTGCACTTATTACAAAGAAAGAGAAAAGAAGCGCTTGGACTTGAAACAGCAATAAATATAAATAAGACCCTTTGTTAAGTCTTTTCTGTGGCAAGATTAATTGCAATTAGATTTAAACTGAAGGAGGAGTGGCCTCTCAAAAGAGTTTTACAGAAATTTTGATACAAGTTACCATGGCAACTTCATTCATCAAAATAAAAAAAAACTATGAAGACAATTATGTATCTCAGTATAGTCTACTTGTATGCCATTTTGTATTATAATCAGACTAAACTGTAGGAGGAGTAGTTTGAATTTCACAGAAATTTCTATTTTTAGTAATAACCACTGTGTACTGAAATAAAAAACTAGGATTCTTAGTGTAGTCTACTTGTGTGCCAAATTATATTGAAAATGAAACCAAAACTGTAGGAGGAGTAGCATTTTGAGTAAATTTGTTTACAGACAGACAGTCAGATGGAGAATTGTAAAGTGGAAATTAAAAAATCTTGGCAGTAATGTGGTAGGGGGTTTATTAACTCACAGGATGAGTCTATCTTCCCATAGTGACCCCTTATTTTTGACTACTAGGTAAACAAGATAATGGAATATCACTTAATTTTTAGTGATTAATCAAACAAACATCTCACTGATCAGGAAATTAAATCTTTAAACTGTACAAAACCCCATAAAAACACAACACACCCCACAATTTTTCCTCCTCTGTAAATCATATACAGTATACTTTTATCTGGATTACAAACATATAACCATATATGTCATCTTTTGTAAATCTCCACAGAGTTTTATGTTTGGTGACATTTTCCAAAAGAAGAAATGCTAATACATTTTTCTCCTGATTTTAATATGCCATGGGACCATGACATTATTCAACTATACTTTGAGAAGATAAAATTCTTGCAGGCAAATGTTGTCCTTAATGCATTGATTTTCTTTTAAATGTATAAAAAAAAATAAATAAAATTTGGTCCCACATTTTCAATCCCATTTCAAATATATACATATATATAAAAAAAAATTACTGTCAACATACTTTTTTTTCATAGGGACATATTTCCGTACAATCACATTCAATCTGCAGGTAGAAATTTTAATGAATTTTTTCGATTGCCACTATATATGCCTTCAATGTTTAATACTATGCAGAAAAATGTACTTCTACAGTATTACTGATTAAACAACACATTCTCAGACATTGAAATTGAAAAGCAAACAAATGACCACCACAAAATGTAAAATTCCTTATGCTTTACTACTAAACATTTTCCAACCATGAAATCAAATCCACACAAACCAATATTTTTTCCTAACACCTTAAAAATCAACCCCACAAAAATAAGTGATTTTACAGTACTGCTCCAAGAAACAAAGAAATTACAAGTCAGACATACTGTAAACCAACTTTTATTTTCGGTGACTTTATTTCATGATTTACCGGGGATAAATTACTTCAAGAAGATTAATTTTCAGGATCAGGCTTTTTTTTTTTTTTATCTGTTGTTAACAGAGACTTTATAAGGACTAGTTCGCACCTAAAAATATTTGCGATGTGCGAGAACCTTGGGAAAATCTTTCGTATGCGAATAAAAGTTGGTTTACAGTATAGAAATGGACTAACTTGTATTTCTAATTAGCCTAAGGGATGTTTGTTGAAATAAGTGAATTCTCTCTCCTTTTCATACATTATACATATGATTTCATTGACTTTTTTCTTGCTATCACTGACATGGGTATTATATTGCCCTACCTCCCCAACAACTTTTTTCACTTTTTTACTTCAGCTAAGAAACATGTAACTCCTCTAAAATATACCAACAGACAAAGTCATTAATATGAATTGACCCTACCCCTATAAGCACCCTGGAGTATCTTCTACTGAGTCTCAAAATAAAGCCCCCTCCTCTTTTCCAATTTTGAACTTTAGGACTCATCAAAGTTTTCCAAGACCATCAGAATTACATGCATGCATAACTGATTGGAAGTTGAAATATGTTAGATAAAACTGACCATGTCATCAATCTGTGTGAACAAAGAATGAAAAATTGACACAATCCACAATTTATTTAAAACCCACTAAACTTTTGATGGATAGGGTTAGGATACAGACTTGAACTCTTCGATACAATCTGTTCATTTGATTTCAACACAACTACCAAATAGTTGCCCCCTTTCTGCCATCTTTACAAAAGGAGAAAATTGTACTTCTGGAAAATGTTTTAGCAGATATTTTACAATACATATATCAATAAGAGGCTACTATGTATGTAACATTGGTTTGGGTCATGGATATCCGCCTGGATAGCTCAGTTGGTAGAGCACCTGACTGGAGATGTAGGGGTCCCGGGTTCGATTCCCGGTCCAGTCGTACATTTTCTCCCCTCCTGTTACAGATTTGGTGCCGTTGACCACCCCTGGAATTGCAGATGAAAGTCCTGTCAGGGGCTAACAAGAACTTGGGTTGTGTCTTCGAGGCCATGCAAAGATCATTTAAGGAAGGAGGAATGTAATGGTTTGGGCCATGGATATCGGCCTGGATAGCTCAGATGGTAGAGATCCTGACTGGAGATGCTGGGGTCCCAGCTTCGATTCCCGGTCCAGCCATACATTTTCTCCCCCTGTTACATGTATGATTGTTGGTCCTTTTGTTTTTTCCAAAACTTATTTAAGAAATGTCTTTTTAAAAAAGATATGCAATCAAAATTTTCATTCAATTCCTTTGTAGTCTACAAGTCTTGAAATTTTAATTTCCTAATAGGTTAGTAGTGCGATTTCTTATAAGCAGTGCCTTAAAATTATGCCAATACTAACATACAGTAAAACAGTATCTATTCAATAAAATGCAACGTTTTTCACAATATTGTGTGGTATAAACTTTCATATCACACACAATTATATCTTTTCAAACTAACAACAATAAACTATCAGCATCATCGATTTAAGTCCATCAATATTACAAAAGATAGTTAAATGCTAATTTAATCCCAAAAATATCTATAATCTTTATTTTACAAATTTAATAAGCTTACCTCTACTAAACTTCGTTACTGAGTCCTGGGCTGTCATTGTCTTTGGCAATGTGTCAGCCTCCACAAATGTGCCTTTTCCTCCCTTGTTAATAACCGTCCACATATCACAGTCCTTCTGAAAGCTACATGCAAGTGTCCCCACTGGGATGCTGAATAATGCAACATGGGGATAAAATAGAACCAAATTCATCAGTATCTTTCTCCAAGGCTCATCCATATTGTTAATTAAAACACTCAATCGAACATAATTATTTAATTTAATCAATCTTTAAAAAATTTCATTATCTGCAGTAATCCATGAAAGATTGTACAGTAGAAAAGATGGCTTCAATCAGCCAATGTCAACGAGATAATAATTAAGGAACTTTTTTTTTCTGTTAGCGATCAAATGATCGAACAATTTAATCAAAGTGTCATCCAACACTTTATCTGAATTGTCCAATCCGCAGCCTCTATGTATATACGGACACTCAAAAATACCCAAGTAACTTCACATCACATAGGAAGGAAAAAAAACTTCATCATTTTGTGGAATATTCTCAGCTAGGCCACCACCGTATAAAACTTTATTGAATTTGAATCATTTTATTTCCCATATAAAATAGACTCATGAATAAATATTCAATGATGTCCGGCAGCTAAATCACACGACTAATCTAATCTGTCCTTGTCAGATGTCAAACCTATTAGCCAGCATACAAGTAGACAAAAATGGATGGAACATGTCAAATACAAAACTTCTTAAAGAAAAGCACATTGCTAATCTGTTGCATGATCAATAGTACAAAGCCAGATTCTCGTCCGTACAACAGTACTATGGATCTGACAGTCCCCATCTGCCGGTTGTCAACAGAAACAATGGACAATTTCAATTCATATGTTTTACTTGAAAATTTACAACTGACAGTCGATTTGAATAATTTATTTGTTACAGCATGAACTGTGTCAATTTACAGGTAACATATTTCCTAACTATTTTTTTTTCTGTGTGAAAAAAAAATATTTGTTTTACTTTAATAACATCATTTTCATCAGAACAGCTGCTGATAAAAATTGTATTTGCCTATAGTCAGTCTAACTTTTCAATTAATAATCATTGAGGAAATATGATTTTCAGGAAATGACTGTGTTTGGCATGTAAAAAGCAATCTAATTAGTACAATTCCAATGTCATTTTACCTGCCTTCCGTTTATTCTTTTGCAGACCTTCTGTTCAAACCTAGCTGAATGGTTTACATCAATGTCATAGCTAGAAGTGCAAGTAACAATTCTCAATTTACATACTTCTAGTTTTCATGAAATCTTTGCCACAACTGAATTTCTGAAAATTTGAAAAAATACATATATAAAATTTAGCCTTTTAATCAAATGAGGTAGTAAAAATTTACTGAGAAAAATGACATATCTTATTCAAAATCGAAATACACTTACTTTTAACTACAATATTTTTCACTTTTCATTAATTAAAATGGAACAAATCCATAATATTTATTAAATTGACTTTTACCTTCTTTTCAGCATATTTAAAATTGGTGTGGCTCTTCAGTTTAACAAACTTTATATCCCCTTCGACCAATGATTCTTTGCGCCTTAATTGGCACGATTGATTGATACTTGACCTGTGGTATGAAAAAAAAAGTAAGGAAAGACAGCAAAGAATATGCATACACATACCAACAGATGAACAGAAAGATGATAACTAAAACTTTCTGATCAGAAAAGTTAACATAACCTCTGGCAATTAAGCTTCAAATTTCTTGGACAATCATTTAATTTGCAATCGAACAGACTTTCAGTAAACTGATAAAAAAAATAATTCATAATCTATCATTATTGTAAATTTGTACAAAATGCAGTGCTGAAATGCTTGAAAATTCTAACTTGGGCACTGCTGACAGATAATAATTAAGCTCTACTTTGGAAATCAAAGAATTTCACAAAAATCTACTAAGCATTTCACAAAAATCTGTCTTGTATAGTGTTTGATGGGGCCCTTATGGTATATCAATGCTCCATATACATAGCTAATATTACGATTGCCTGTTGAATGAGAATTCATTGGTGATGGAAATACATTAAGCCTTTGGGCAGCTGGAGGCAACGAATGGTGTAGTAACTGAATTGCAAGGACATATTTTAGCCCTAGATCTCAGCACAGTGGATTTCTTTGTTACAAAATAAACAGAGGTACTTAGAGTGAGCTTACAAAATAATACTCTTTGATGAAATTTTCAAAAATGCCTATTAGCCATTTTTTTTAAACATGTCCTCTGCTCATATAATCTTTGGGTAAAATAAGGACATAAAGCATCTAATTCTTATCCATGCATTTGAAATTACATACACCGTGCTGTCATAAATTTTACAATTTTTTGTACAGTTATCTTGAATTTGTCACAATCTTTGAATCAAGTAAGAGCTTCTTATGATTTTCCATTATAAATTTCCCCTCAGAAAAGTCTCTTTGAATATAGTTTTTTCTGCAGCCTTGACCTTGAATTTGCTGGAATGACCTAGCTTTGGTGAAAATCAAGACATACATTTACACAATTAACAATTTTTATACCAAGTATGACTCTCCATTACAAAATTATAGCTCAAACAAGTTTCTTTTTAAATTTTTTTCTGATAGTGACCTTAAACTTGCTAAAATGACCTTCATTCAAGGTCATGACAATCTTAAGAAGAAAAAACAAGTATTTAACATTGTGGGAATTCATATTTCAGTGTTTTTCAGCAGTTTTCATCCAAAATTATGTACTATATATACAACTGGGGACTATAATATGAGAATTTTTTTCTTGTTGTTGAATGAACTATCTTTAGTACAATTCTCAGTTAACCTTGGACTTTCAGGAGAGTGTGACATTATGGACCCTACATAATTAGCGTCTCTTAGGCAAATAAATTCTCATTGGTCAAGAAAATAATAACATCAACAGCTTAAATTTTTTGTTGACAACAATGGGATGACTTAAGCCCCACCTCTTTGCTGACAGAGACTAGAGACAATCTTAGCAAAAATCGGGTATATAGTATAATATTAAACTTTATATCCGATTTTACTAAGATTGTCTCAAGTCCCTGTGTCTTTGCCATACACAAGACTATCATTGGGTCATTTCTACACTCGCTGACATTCACCAGAATGTATATTTCAACAGTGAATGAAAGGCTGAGTAAATTTCAGACGTCAATAATGGAGAATACCATGCCTTACTGAAAGTCCAAGGTTGACTGAGAATTGTACTATAGGCATCTGATATTCCAATTCTAATTAACAATTCAACATTGTTGTAATCAAGGTCTTTTTTATGGTCCTATTTAGGGATTTCATTTACCTATATATTCAATTTTCAGTTGAGTATTGATTTAGGTGAGTGTAATGTGCCTCTTGTTACACCCAATTTTTCAATAAAATCAGTATACTAAACTGTCTAATGCTACAAATTCCTACAATGAAATTTAAAGTTTTGAGGTTAATTTTGTTATAAATCAAGCAGTGCTTTTAGTGAGACTTTTTACACGCTTTTTTTTAAAACAATTACATACAATATAAACCCTATAGGTTGGTTCAACTCATTTTTTTAACATTAAATATTTTAGTTGAAATACGAAAAATAAGTCATCTAACTATATATATATATATATTGGCACAAATTTCATTTTCTGAGAAATAAAATAGTTTGTTTTTTTTTAAATTGAGGAAAATACTTAATTTTGGGTAAAAACTCAAGATTGAGGTCTAAATTTTTCAATGGTCATTTTAATTTATGGTTAAAGTCAAAAGGCAACATAAATGTCAATTGTAGTGGTATCAAAATGTTTACAGAGACAGTATAAACATGAATTCCAACATCTAAATCTATTCAGTTTCCTGTAACTAAATGAAGCAATCGAGACCACAGGAGCTAATTAAGATACTTAATACCATAATTGCTTATGCAATAATCAATGATGCTTTGAAAACACTGAAAGGCAGCATTTATCTCATCAATATATGATTAAAAAATCCATTCAATACAATCTGGTGATGCATTAATTCTTAAAGTAACATCTAAATGCAACATCTGTATGAAAAATATTAGGTACATACAATATGTATTTAAGTTAATCGTTCAAATCTGATTTTGAATTTTCTTATTATTCTAATAAATGGTTTCACAATATCAATCTAGATTTTGTGACATAAAGACAAGTATTAGGCCATTAAAACATATACAGTAAAACTCGGTTATTACGAGGTCACAGGTACCAATAAAATTACTTTGCTATATCCGTAATTTGTTATATTGATCTGTGTAAGGAATTCGTTAAATCTATATAGCTGGGGATCTTAGATAACTTCGCTATATCCGAAAATTCGCTATATCCGAGTTTGTACTAAACGAGTTTTGCTGTACAGCTAAGGTCACCAAAATGCAATTTTTTTGTTTTATTTTAGAAAAAAAAAAGATGATAAGGTAAAGATTTGACTACAGTTAAAGTACATTCTTCTCAAACATGGTAAGATTCAATTATCATAAAAATTTGGTTTTCAGTATATTTGCATTCAAATTCTAATCACAAGACCATAAACTTATTTGCTGCAATTCTGTAGTTCTTTGGAGTGAATAAATTACAATGGACAACCAGAGAACTGTAGTGCCACCAATAGAAATTAGAGGCACTGTGAGCACTGAGCTCACTAAATGATACCCCCCACCTCCCATATGATTACTCATGTAGATTCCTTACTTTTCGTGAGTACTTATTATCGTGAATGGGCTCTTTAACATCAAATCGCGCTAATAATGATTTGCGATTGGACAGTTGATCAAGATTTTTACATTAGTAAGTAATTTTATTTCGTGTGTGGTACTTCTCATGAAATTATGTGATAATTAATAGCCATTCTCTGTAACCACTTAAACTTCGTTGCCACGCATGGTCACCGATTTTGATGAAACTTCACCCATGCTTAGTACTTGACACCAGAAACAAATATCAAACAAAATTTCGTTGCTATGTGTCTCGGTTGCTATGGCAACAGCCGTAAAAGTTTGAAAAATCGAGATTTGTAGCCACTTTAAATCTTGACTGTGGCTTAATAAAAACTAGAAAAAGCAAACAAACCATTCTCACAAAAACATGACACCTTGATGTCACTTATACTATAAAGAAACTGTTTAGAATATATCTCTAAGTAAGTGGTAACCAAGGGTACATTTGGAATACATTTAAAATGCTGAAATATGCTAA